TAATCATTTCAAATTGGTTTCTTGAACATGACAATGAGTTCACTGTACTAAAATGGCCTCCACAGTCACCAGATCTCAACCCAATAGAGCATCTTTGGGATGTGGTGGAACGGGAGATTCGCATCATGGATGTGCAGCCGACAAATCTGCGGCAACTGTGTGATGCCATCATGTCAATATGGACCAAACTCCCTGAGGAATGCTTCCAGCACCTTGTTGAATCTATGCCACGAAGAATTGAGGCAGTTCTGAAGGCAAAAGGGGGTCCAACCCGTTACTAGCATGGGGTACCTAATAAAGTGGCCGGTGAGTGTATATCCCAATGTAACTGCGGCAAAAAAACAGAAAATGCAGTGCTATAAGCAGTTGTAACTACGCAGGAAAAGAGTGCGGTTGCGATGTGTGACATAGTCAAGGTCGCTGTCTAGTTTGTTAGCTAAAATAAACATAATTGTGTTATTGTATGATAAGCGGGATGAGCGCGTCCGACTTTGGCTCAGCGCCAGCCATAGCACGAAAGCACAGTTAAAAATCAGTTATGTCACGTCACTGTACGTTCGCTCCTTAGTGTTCAGCTCAGCTGCTGCAAAGCGTGCCAAAATCGAAATCGCTGATAAGATGTAGAGGAACTTATCTAGTGTTAAATGAGTGTTACGTTATCTCTCTCACGAGAATGCAGCGTAAAGTGAGTGACGTCAGTGAGTGCGTTGTCAAGCAAGGAGAGCGAGCGCCGAGCGGTAGCAGGGTCTGTGAGAAAAAAAATAGATCACAGCCGGTCTTGGACCCCGAAACAGGAAAAGTGTAACATTGTATATCAAATTTTTATAACCTATTTAGTCAGAAACAAGTCAAAAGACGGAAGTCTTTTGACTTCATTTGATGAATGCTCAAGTCCGATTTTATATATTCTCGAGTCCGAGTCCAAGTATAGTCATCAGTCCGCGAGTCCAAGTCGAGTCACGAGTCCAGAGAATGGAGTCTCGAGTCGGACTCGAGTCCAGAGAATAAGGACTCGAGTCGGACTCGAGTCCGAGTCCAGGACTCGAGTACTCCATCACTGACTCACATAACCTGTGCTGGTGTCATGTTTTAATATACTCACATAACCTGTGCTGGTGTCATGTTTTAATATACTCACATAACCTGTGCTGGTGTCATGTTTTAATATACTCACATAACCTGTGCTGGTGTCATGTTTTAATATACTCACATAACCTGTGCTTGTGTCATGTTTTAATATACTCACATAACCTGTGCTCGTGTCATGTTTTAATATACTCACATAACCTGTGCTGGTGTCATGTTTTAATATACTCACATAACCTGTGCTTGTGTCATGTTTTAATATACTCACATAACCTGTGCTGGTGTCATGTTTTAATATACTCACATAACCTGTGCTCGTGTCATGTTTTAATATACTCACATAACCTGTGCTGGTGTCATGTTTTAATATACTCACATAACCTGTGCTGGTGTCATGTTTTAATATACTCACATAACCTGTGCTTGTGTCATGTTTTAATATACTCACATAACCTGTGCTGGTGTCATGTTTTAATATACTCACATAACCTGTGCTCGTGTCATGTTTTAATATACTCACATAACCTGTGCTGGTGTCATGTTTTAATATACTCACATAACCTGTGCTCGTGTCATGTTTTAATATACTCACATAACCTGTGCTCGTGCTGTGTTTTAATATACTCACATAACCTGTGCCCGTGCTGTGTTTTAATATACTCACATAACCTGTGCCCGTGAAATGTTTTAATATACTCACATAACCTGTGCTCGTGCTGTGTTTTAATATACTCACATAACCTGTGCCCGTGCTGTGTTTTAATATACTCACATAACCTGTGCTCGTGTCATGTTTTAATATACTCACATAACCTGTGCTCGTGCTGTGTTTTAATATACTCACATAACCTGTGCTCGTGCTGTGTTTTAATATACTCACATAACCTGTGCCCGTGAAATGTTTTAATATACTCACATAACCTGTGCTTGTGTCATGTTTTAATATACTCACATAACCTGTGCTCGTGTCATGTTTTAATATACTCACATAACCTGTGCTGGTGTCATTTTAATATACTCACATAACCTGTGCTCGTATCATGTTTTAATATACTCACATAACCTGTGCTCGTGTTATGTTTTAACATACTCACATAACCTGTGCTCGTGCTGTGTTTTAGTATACTCACATAACCTGTGCTCGTGTCATGTTTTAATATACTCACATAACCTGTGCTCGTGTCATGTTTTAATATACTCACATAACCTGTGCTTGTGTCATGTTTTAATATACTCACATAACCTGTGCTCGTGTCATGTTTTAATATACTCACATAACCTGTGCTGGTGTCATTTTAATATACTCACATAACCTGTGCTCGTATCATGTTTTAATATACTCACATAACCTGTGCTCGTGTTATGTTTTAACATACTCACATAACCTGTGCTCGTGCTGTGTTTTAGTATACTCACATAACCTGTGCTCGTGTCATGTTTTAATATACTCACATAACCTGTGCTCGTGTCATGTTTTAATATACTCACATAACCTGTGCTGGTGTCATGTTTTAATAAACTCACATAACCTGTGCTCGCTCGTGTCATGTTTTAATATACTCACATAACCTGTGCTCGTGTTATGTTTTAACATACATAACCTGTGCTCGTGCTGTGTTTTAGTATACTCACATAACCATAACCTGTGCTCATGTAATGTTTTAGTATACTCACATAACCTGTCCTCGTTTCGTGTTTTAGTATACTCACATAAGCTGTGCTCGTGCTGTGTTTTAGTATACTCACATAACCTGTGCTCGTGCTGTGTTTTAGTATACTCACATAACCTGTGCTCGTGCTGTGTTTTAGTATACTCACATAACCTGTGCTCGTTTCGTGTTTTAGTATACTCACATAACCTGTGCTCGTGCTGTGTTTTAATATACTCACATAACCTGTGCTCGTGCTGTGTTTTAATATACTCACATAACCTGTGCTCGTGCTGTGTTTTAGTATACTCACATAACCTGTGCTCGTGCTGTGTTTTAGTATACTCACATAACCTGTGCTCGTTTCGTGTTTTAGTACACTCACATAACCTGTGCTCGTGCTGTGTTTTAGTATACTCACATAACCTGTGCTCGTGCTGTGTTTTAATATACTCACATAACCTGTGCTCGTGCTGTGTTTTAGTATACTCACATAACCTGTGCTCGTGCTGTGTTTTAGTATACTCACATAACCTGTGCTCGTGTCGTGTTTTAATATACTCACATAACCTGTGCTCGTGTCATGTTTTAGTATACTCACATAACCTGTGCTTGTGTCATGTTTTAATATACTCACATAACCTGTGCTCGTGCTGTGTTTTAATATACTCACATAACCTGTGCTCGTGTCGTGTTTTAGTATACTCACATAACCTGTGCTAGTGCCGTGTTGTAATATACTCACATAACCTGTGCTTGTGTCATGTTTTAATATACTCACATAACCTGTGCTTGTGTCGTGTTTTAATATACTCACATAACCTGTGCTCGTGTCATGTTTTAGTATACTCACATAACCTGTGCTTGTGTCATGTTTTAATATACTCACATAACCTGTGCTCGTGCTGTGTTTTAATATACTCACATAACCTGTGCTCGTGTCGTGTTTTAGTATACTCACATAACCTGTGCTAGTGCCGTGTTGTAATATACTCACATAACCTGTGCTTGTGTCATGTTTTAATATACTCACATAACCTGTGCTGGTGTCATGTTTTAATATACTCACATAACCTGTGCTCGTGTCGTGTTTTAGTATACTCACATAACCTGTGCTAGTGCCGTGTTTTAATATACTCACATAACCTGTGCTAGTGTCATGTTTTAATATACTCACATAACCTGTGCTGGTGTCATATTTTAATATACTAACATAACCTGTGCTGGTGTCATATTTTAGTATACTCACATAACTTGTGCTCGTGTCATGTTTTAATATACTCACATAACCTGTGCTGGTGTCATATTTTAGTATACTCACATAACTTGTGCTCGTGTCATGTTTTAATATACTCACATAACCTGTGCTAGTGCTGTGTTTTAGTATACTCACATAACTTGTGCTCGTGTAATGTTTTACTCACATAACCTGTGCTCGTGTAGAATATTTCAATGCAGAAAGCACACAAAAAATGAAGGGGTGAAAGCACAACACATCCCTGATGGAGAAAACACACACAACATAATAACTCATAAGAAATGAAAAATGGTCTGCCATTAGCTGCTCTTTGTTACTTTTTTTTGTCAAAATTCAGTTACAATACAGAACACACACACAGAACAAATGCAAACACACACAACATACACGCATAAAACACATGTGTAACACTATGTTTAGGATTGACTGTAATAATGTCGTAATTGCAAAAATATGATACTTCAATAAAAAAGCTAAACTTTGAAAAATACTTATTGTTATAATAATTATTTTATAATGTCTAAACATAAATCTAAATTTTAAAAAAAACTTGTGAAAAGATGTATACGAGACATGAAAAAAATAATTGTCTATTTTGATTTCATGGTGACTTTAAAACCCCCTTGTGGGTCACCTTTAAAACAATGCCATTTTTATTCAAAAGGTTTGGACTTAAACCCATACCACGTATTTAAATTCAGATCACACATATCTTTAGGGATCCTGTTTCTATTCTATTCTATTCTTCCACTCAGTGGCAGCGCCGTGTCTGCTGTGGAGTGATGTACACTACAGATGCTTTGCGATTCGGTTCGTATGAATCCCTAAAAAGAACTGGTTCAAACGAACGACTCGTTTGCGAATCGAACACGACTACTCGTCACATCTATGGCGCGCAGTGTCTGTGTGAGAAACATCAGACCGAGTCCGTCGGGCCCAATACGCTGTGAAGACTTCACATCGGTTCTGACAGAGACAAACCCTTCACACACACACACACACACACACACACACACATCTCACACACTACCGAAGCCAAACATGTCTGTCTCTGAGTCCTACTGAAATGAAGAGGACACGGCGGGGTTTGGACGCGACAGAAGAGTGCGCTGTCTACAAGGTATGGGGTTATACTCACCGTTCACAATAAAGTCATTATTATACGACGTGCGAACACAATACGGACTCGCTTTTTTGGCAGAAATGTCTCGTATTATTTCCGCCCAGCGATCAGATTCAGTTTTAGACAATCGAGGCTGTGTATTTCTCTTCAAACATAGTCATGCTTTGGTTTTGAATGTATTGAACAGTTATGGTCCTCCAAACCAAGATATCGTTTTATTATTTCGAGTCTCAAGAAATACAATGTTTTAACATACCAGTTTTGTATAGTTTGAGTAAGTCCATCAGATGTCTGCAGCTGTAACGTTATTTGTGAATGTGAGACCAGGAAGGGAAATGAATCCTGATTCAGCACCAATGCGCTGTCCACTGAAACACCAATGACTGATCAATAAACATAACTGGATTATGGAAGCGTTCAATGGGCCATGCAAGAGAAATGACTGCATTTTTGTTTCGTCTCTCAATAGACTGAAACCTGTCGACGCATCAGGCAACCTCGAAGAAATCTTGAGACTGGACAGTTGTTTAATTCCTGTCTTATTCACAATAAAGTGCAACTGCAGGATTCTGGCAGTAAAATGGACCTCTTTACCCATAATGCATGAAGAGAGATCCACCAATCAGAGAAGTTTCTGTGGAAATGCAATAACTCCCATGAATCTCAGCCATCCTGACACTTATTTGCATGCTTAATCCATTTTGTGAAAATCCAGCTTTTAATGTTGTTTCTATGTGGTGTTATTAATGTGCTTTAAGACAACCCATGTGTAAGTTCATAAGTCGACAGCATTGCTGAGTATGTTCTGCTTAAAACTGCAGTGAACCAAAGACAGTCTCAAAAACACGGTGTGAAATCGCTGGTGTTTCTGACGTCACACACGACCTTGTAACCAATCAGATCAACGTGTGATCGTCAACGAGTGGATCTCTGAGCTGAGTGAGTGAGTGAGTGGAGGCGGGGCTCATTCGCATATTCATAGAACCACGTATACTAAATGAGGCAATGGTGTCGAGTTACATTCAAGATATTTTAAGACATAAGGAATGTTTCAGGGAAAAAACTGTTAAATATGTAATTTTGGTGATCAAAGAAGAGCTTTAAGGGATCAAATGATCGACTAAGTGGGGACTTTAAGAGTGCACATACTGTACTATTAAGCGCACTTCTTTTCACAAGGCTATATCTGAATAGTTTGCTATAAAATATATTGCTTTCATACTTTACTCAAGTATATTGTACTGTGATTTTTGGGTCAATCACATGAGATCAGTAGTTCATTCCCACAGATTGTCGTAGCCGATTAGTTTGGTTTGTTACTTTTTATTGAAGATTTTTCAAATCTCTGTGGAGAAAAATACGTCCAGAATAAAGTCCGCTAAAGAGAAGCACACACTTTTCGCACTCAGGCCGTGATGCATTAGTTAGCGTATAACTGTGGGCTGTTTGTTTTACGGCAGGGCGGTTCGACTGACGCTCACGATGAGGAAGTGCAGTCCATGGATGTTCCTGCCCGTGATGTTCTCGGTCTTCACAGCTGCCGGCCTCTGGGTCGTGTGAGTATACACAACCCAATCCACCTCACTGATTTAAGCTGCTGTTCAGATAAACATCATATCATTTCATTCATGCACAGGTATTTCATTGCTGTGGAGGACGAGAAAATCACGCCACTCAGTTCAGAGTACAAGTAAGGGAACCCGACCTCTATTGCATGCCAGTCGTTTGAGGAATCATAATATTAATGCCTTCTTCTGTTCATAGAAGGTCCGAATCTAAATCTCCTCCATATATCAGGTAGATCTTCACGAATTTTATTATCTATATTTCACATATTTGTTTCTTTGTTTGGAGGGCTGATGAAAGTTCTTATACCGTTTAGCATTGCAGGCAACGCACCTCCTGCCAGCTGCGTGTTTAGTCAAGTCATGAACATGGCGGCCTTTGTAGGTATGAGTGGTGCTCCGGTTCTGTCAAGCGAGTTGGTTTTCTTTTCTTTTTTCATGCGGTTGATGATCTTACAACTAATTCAGTCATTATTTATTAAGCACCGAAATTGCAGCCTGTTGAAACCGTTGCAGTGTTCGGCAGCATTACATCACAACATGTGCACATCAGTTTAGGTGGCGTTTACACGACACTGGTTTCAACTAAAAACTGGAAACTTTTTGTGCGCTTTGGTCGTCCATTTACACGACAACGGCGTTTTGGGGGTCTGAAAACGCACATTTTGAAAATGAGTTTAAACGTGCAAGTTTGTCAATTACAAAAAGGTGAATTTGTGAAAACATTAATGTCATGCACATGTGTATTACATGTTTAGTCTATAGTAGGGGTGTAGCGATGCCCTCATGTCACGATTCACGATACAGATCACGACACTGAACTCACGATACGATATTATTGCGATACTCCAAGACATGATAAAAGGTTAACAATAAATGCACTGTTGATTAAAACGCTAAATTTGGTGTTACATTGTGTGTGTAAATGAATAGGATGGACTTGGTGCTGAAACCCAAAGCACAGGACAATAGAGACACCAGAATAACAATATTCATGATTCTGGAGCTGAAAATACTGAATTATTTTAGACGAATATGCTTGTTCTCTGTCACTGACTAGATATTTAAAATAATGTCGGACACTTTTACTGATAACAAGACATTTGGCATCATCAGGACACACAAAAATTCCCCCATTGCATAATTATACATTATATTCAACATTATATATAGCAGTTTAATGTAGTACTGACACTAAAACTGAAAACTTTAATTTTTACTTTGGGTGAACTATACACAATATATATTGTCACTATAATACAGCGTTTTTAGTCGTTTTCACGGATCCGTGTGAACGGGATCGTTTTGACGTTTGGGAAAAAGGAAAAGCTGTTCTGTTTTTAGTACATCGTTGTCGTGTAAACGCAGCCGTAGTTATTAAATTGCATGTGTGTGTGAGATACACACAGCTGACAGTAATGTATAATTGTCTGAAACGAGTTGTGTGGTGGTGTCCAGGCTTTATCCTGGGAGTGCTGAGATACCTGCAGCTGAAGCCGCGAGTGCAGAAGCCCTGGCTCAACATCGGCAGTCTGGCGGCGCTCTCGCTCGCCTGCTTCGGCATGACTTTAGTGGGCAACTTCCAGGTATCAATCACACCCTCTTTTTGCAACCATAACATTGAAGCACTTAAGCCGGGTGCACACTGTGCGATTTTAGCCGCGATTTGGCCGTCTGAGACAAATTTAGCAAATCCTAAAAGATTCCTCCCAGGAAAATACGAAATTCCGAGGAGGATTTGAACCATAAGTACCCAGTGTTTGTTGTGTTGTTTGTCCGAGCTAAAAAACAAGTGACGTGGCAATTAGTTATTAAGTGTCCAGTTTCCTTAAGTATTTCTGTACAAGTATTCCAAGTATAATTTTACATCACTCTTTTAACCCAAACACCTTATTCGTGTGTCACTTTTTAATCTAGCTGTCCAACGATGAGGAACTGCATAATATTGGCACCTCCATGACCTTCGGCCTGGGGACCCTGTTCTGCTGGGTCCAGTCTTTCATGACCCTGAAGGTCAACCTGAGGAGCGAAGGCAAGCGAGCAGGAATCCCCCGCTTCCTGTTGTCCGGGGCGGTCACTTCCTGCATGCTGCTCTGTATCCTTCTTCCCTACACCAACACTGTGCAGGATGAACACATGTATCCTCAGATTCAAGTGACTTATGCATTATAGGGCTGGGTGATAACGCCAGAACTGATACTCAGTGTGTATCTGTGAAATATCTGAAAATGCCATTTCAAACAACCAGACACAATAGATTCAAAATTATAGCATTGAAAATTGATACCAGAGCAACAATTTTCATTGAATACACACACAACCCTTGTAGTGCACTTAAAAGACGTAAAGAGAGTCCAATTTCAGGACTTTAACGCACTTAAGTAGACTTTTAAAAAGTGCATTTTGTGATAATGTCAAATTATTCAACTAATACTTTTTTCATTTAATTGCAACTAACATGCAATTAAGTGTCAAGAAAGCATTCTGTTCGCACTTAACTTTATTCTTGTGAAGTATATTATTTCCATAAGTACTAACAAGTGATCTTTTTCACAAGATCGATGATATACTGCAACAAAACACAGTAATAAATCACAATATTTACCTTTATTTTAGTGACACATTTATAATGTACATAAAAAGTCATGCGGGGACATCCGTGAACACTTTTGAACGATGAAGCAAAAGAATTGCTGAACCAGACTTATGAATCAAATCACTGAGGAAAAAAACAACAATGATTCACAGAAAATGAATGAGAACCCTGCTGAAGGCCCGTTATAAAGACAACGCTAGCTATATTAGAAGGTTATTGTGTGTTTGTGTGGACACTGTTCACTGCAGGTTCGACGTCTGTCGCTTTAAATGCTCAAGTCTGGAGGATTCTGATTGGCTGTCAATGTTTTTAATCATTCATCAGCTGGGAAAAAAATTGTTCTGAAAGTGATTCCAGCGTTCCTGTGTCACTGTCGTTATATCTGCTATTCTCATGGAATTAGAACTATTATTAAAATGTAGTTATCGTTATCATTTCTAGCCATGCTAAAGTGATCCGCCATCTAGTCTAATACTGAACAAACCAGCTCACCGCCTGAGCTACTGCTGTACTCACCTATGCTTGATCTGATATCGCCAGATTAATGGTTGCGGCTGTACAGTGGGAATAAGATGGGGATTTTCCTACCGGACCAATTCAGTAGGTCTACATTTGAATTGGAACTTACTTCACGACCATTAAAAACGTGATCTATATAGTATGAATATGGGTGGTATGAATGTAATCTGGACGTACTACATCGGCCATGTTGTTACGGTCACATGACCAACCAGCGCCAGTCACGCGTCGCTTCCCTGTCATTCACACACCCCCTCCTGTGGCCTCATGGGATAGTAAAATGACCACCGTGAGCACACTTCACAATCTCACCGGGGACTTCTCACCTACTATATAGTAGGGACGTATTCGATTTTAGATGCAGTGACAGTCTGAGGAGGACGTGACAGCTGTGAATATAATGTTGCGACATGAACACCGCATCATTTACATTATGGTCATGTGACCCTAACACTTTATTTTAAGGTGACGTAATTACATTAATATTACTATTACAATTAACCACATGTACTTACTATAGAGTTACAGTTAGTTACTTGTGATCATGCATAATTTACTGTACTTAAGTGCTGAGTAATATTAATTAACTAGCCTACATGTTCCAACTTACTACAGAGTTAGAGTTTGGTTTAGTTACATGTAATTTTGCATAATATTCCTGCTAATACTAAAGTATGTAGTAACGTGCAACTACGTCTCCTTAAAATAAAGTGTTACCAATCCTTGAGATTAATTTTAAAGCAAGATGGTGGAAGAGTTCGAGTTAACGTACAAACAGAACAATTCAATTTGATTGCTTTTGTTTGTGATACATCACACACATCTGTCATACATTGCATATGGAGTTAAAACAGGTTTTATGGGTAAGAAATGAGTTTAATAGTAGATCAGTTGGGTAATAATGACTTGCTGTGTCCAAACAAGAGACGGCGAGATCATGATAACGTCTCAAGAGAAGATGAGGAAATCAGCTGGGTGTGTTTCCTATGACACGCGCTCGCCCGGTGTTTGATAGGTCACCCAGCCCTGCTCGCCGGCCTCATGCCCAGCTGTGATTGGTTCTCCACATGTCAGCCTTGACCACAGCTGCCAGATTTCGCTCTGATGGCCCAGCGGCTCCACATGCACGCGGCCCGGGCCCAGTGGGCGCTGGTCATGTTCTTCCTGACGTACCTGGGCACGTTCGCCATCGAGTTTCGCCACTACCGCTTCGAGATCGTCTGCAGCGACGAGCGCGAGCCTCCGCTCAGCCTGTCCGAGAGCTTCTCTGAGGTCTCAGAGTACCAGTCTGACCAGCTATAGGCTCCCAGTGTTCGCCAGTCATGCATGTGAGCCCAGCGTAATCTCTCCAGAAAGACCTTTGGATGATTGTGTTTGCTGAATAGTAGATAGGCAACAAGTTCATGAAATGCACAAGGATTCACTGTGATGTGTTCCATGTTTGTGTGAGATGACTGAAGTAACAAGGACACTTTTAAGAAGATCCGATACAGGTTTTTGGCAAGATAATCCTTCGAAATACAGCAATTAATAAGAGTTTCTTGATGCAGGTTATTATGAAGACTCTGTTATTATTCACCAATTGGTTTGTCGCTTCGAATCGGTATGCTGTTATTGTTTTCTGTGGAAGACAGAAGCACTTCTGAGGAATCGTCACGCAATAGATGAGGAACTATTAGTTAGGGATGCACCGATATGAAAATCTGGGCCGATGTCAATAATTCTTTACATTTGAAAACCGATAACCGATATATTGGCCGATAAATCTGAATCCAAATTTTTGTATAATTTTTGAGAGCCTGATTACAAAACTAAAGTCTCATTATTAAAAGCCATGTCCCAAACACACAATTATAATGTTCTCATGATAATGTTGTGTAGCCGACATGACATACTTTGCACTTTACTGTATTTTCGTTTTTTGAAGTGATTTCAAACATATTTCAAGCAATTCAAAAGCCTAATGATGAGCATCTTAAGTGTCTCAGCTGAAGGAAATAATCCATTATTTATCGGCCTTAATATATCGGCTACATTTTCTTTCTGGGCCGATAACATTAAAAATGAACATATATCGGCTGATATATTGTGCATCTCTACTATTAGTTTAACGTGAAGAAGAAATTCCAAGTCAAATGCAATCATAGATGTGTTGTATTCACGTAACCGCATTCATTTCGAGCCGGTCCTGCATTTTATAGGCCTACTTGGTGTTAAATATTGTGACACATCTCTGGCATTGGTCATAATCCTGTATTTTGTTCCTAAAACAGACATGGGTGCTGGTGTATCTAAATGTTGCACATGTGATTTGTTCGATGTGTCCGTTTGGAATAAAATTTTACAACAACATTTAATATTGAGGTTGATCCGACTGCGCTTGACATGAGGTACAGTCACACTAAACCTGTGTCCAGGTGGCAGGTTATGATGAGTGTGTGGGGGAGACAGGCATTAACGCGTCACATTAAACATTCACAGAGAATGTAAGTGTATTATAATTCTACGATGGGTTTCAGTGTAAAAAAACAAGCACCTGGATTCCTGGAGTTTCAGTCCAGCGGATCGGGACCACTGGTTGTTCCCACATGATCCCATGTCAAATATTGCCGCTCAGTTCTAACTGGTTGAAAGACGTGACGACTGTATAATGTTTCCTTTCCTCTTCGGTTAACTCCATGTTTCCAGGTCTGACGACGACAGCCACGTTCACCCCGGCGTCCTCGGCTGCCTTCGCCTCTGTGGAGGAGGAGAGGTGTGTGTGTGAATGAGTCTGCGTTAAACTGAAGCCATTACGGCAGGAGTGAAAGGTTTCTGAGCGCCCACCTCGTGTGACGTCCGTTAAGAACATGATTTCCTCTGGCTGACATCCGATCCTCTCGGCGATGTTCTCGTAGCTTTTACTGTCTACTTTAGCGCCAATGTTGGTGTCAAAGTGACCGTCAAACAACTGAAAGAACAAAAAAAAAAAAAATAAGTTAAAAACTTGCAAATCCACATCAATCCATATAAACTTGGTGGTCATTTTGTGTCCCACAAATGTACACTTTGTGATCGGAATGCTGTTTGTTGGCTTTCTGGGTAAAATAACAGTCGGTAGTTCAAGTACTACTGGTCAGTGTTTATAAAGACTAAAATAAAAATGAAATAAAATGGACATTTTAGATTAAAATTCATTTTGGAAAGTTAGAAGTATTCAGTCCTAAAATGCAAAAAAACGAACTAAAATAAATAGAACATTAAAAGCTAAATAGAAATACAAAACAAAAACTAATAAACATGACAAAAACATGCCAGTGCTGTTGTTATTGTGAACTAAAACAAATGTAAATTTATTTATTTCAAATTTATGCAAAAGAACATCTGACAAGAAAATAAAATCAAGCAAACAAATCAAAATGATTCCAATAACACAATAAAACAAATTAATTAACAATAGTTACAGTCAAAGACTTTTTTTTCTTTTCTTACTCTTGTCAATGTCCATTACATATTCGAAAAGGAGTGGAAAGAAGAAAAAAACCTTAAACTTAAATAAAAATTTCAATTGAATATCAATATCAAATGAATTTAAAATAAGTTTAACTTGAAGTACTAAACTTCCAAAAACTAAAATAAAAATATATTAAAAGCAAAATCAAATATATATATATATATATATAAAAATAAAATAAAAAGCTGTAAGAAAATTACTAAAACAAACAATGAACAAAATTTAAATAACACTAAAATAACACTGCACCACAAAAAAATTACAAAGTAGTTTAAGTAATATTAAAAATAAATAATATTAATAAAAAATAAAGTATATTAATAATACTACAATAACACTGCAGCTTTCATCAGATTGACAAGAAAACGTCATCAATAAGGATAATCTGATGGCCATCAGAGCTTCCTACTGAAAATGACCTCTTATATAATAATGAGTCACATAAATGAGTTCAATGGGTTTGTGAAGCACACGACCCTGCTTACGAGCGCAAACAACGACTCAAAACATTCCTTCGAGAACGAACCCCATCTAAACAGTGTCATCACATCTAACAGCTCCGGCTTACGTCGAGCAGATTGCCTTGCACGGAGTATCTGAAGAGCAGCTTCTGTGCCTCCACACTCCCGGAGGAGTAGATGAACACCTTCAGTCCCCGATGCCTCCACCTCCTGACGGCCGGAGCCACGTCCGGATACACCCTGCGACGAGACACCACATCACTCATCTATACCGCAGCAGAAACCGTCACTGAGAGCCAAACACACGTCTCTCTGCTCTTATCTCACCAAAAACACAGAGTAAAACAACAATATTGCATTACTACAATGTAAAATACTATAGTAAAGTGTAATGTATTCCTGTGATCAGAGCGGAGTTTGCAGCATCATTACTCGTCTTCAGTGTCACATGATCCAATTAAATACAGAACATTATCAGTTACTCAAAGAAATAATCAGATTAATCTACTATCAAAATAAGGATTAGTCACAGCTCTTATGAACGGCTTCAGAGGAAAACAATATTTAGTATCTCTGCTTATTGCATTAGTAATATATATATATATAAAGAAAAATACTGTTCGCGTTGGCCAAAATTATTATTTTTTTCCAATGAAATGATTGCACTTTATTTTAGTTCGATAATGTTTTTTATTTAATATTTTTTATTTTTAGGGGATTTTATATAATACTAAATTATATTATGCAGTATTTATAATCCATCTCTTCACTTTTTGAGCATGGAGCTGAAAAATTACATTTCCAACTTCAACTGAATTTGAAAAAGTTATAGAATGTTACATTTCTTGTAATGAAAAATGCACAAAAATACAATTTAAAATTTTTATAAGAAACTTATATTTTCCAATACACATTTCACTCTAAAACTGTGAGAAAATCAAAGCCATGAATCTAAACAAGCTCCAAATGTGTGCAGTGCCAAACGTTCTTTGTTCATTTCTTTAGCAAGTGCCAAAACCTTCGACCAAGGTTCGTACCATTCTGATGAAAGAAAAAAATCCAAAAAAACGAACCGTGTGTGTGCAAATGTGTTAATGTGTAAAATGCTGTTATTGTGTGTTTATGTATATCCGAGTTGGAAAAAGGCTGCAGCCACAACCTAGTTTAATAGCCTATAGTATACATTTATAAATAGACCACAAAATGATCAGTGTGTGTGCATATATCCTCACCAGGTGTGGCTGTGTGTGTGCATATATCCTCACCAGGTGTGTGTGTGTGTGCATATATCCTCACCAGGTGTGGCTGTGTGCGCTGGGAGAGATGAGGTTTACTTACTCGCCTTTGATTTTGCCGGTCATGTAGGCGGCTCTCCACATGTGTCCCTGCAGCTGCTTGAGCGCCGTGCTCTTGCGGTCCGCGTCCATCTGCCACACCACGTTATCCACCACCTCACGGATGGCCTTCTCCTCGTCTGTGTGGACCGTCTGGTCCACCGCGTGCACGGGACCCGCTTTATTCTGCCGCAAGTCCTCTTCAGCCTGACGACAGACACGGCACAACCACTGCGTTACAGCCATTATCCGGCTTTCAGACACACACACGACCGTTGATGCGCGGGAACAACATGCTCACATTTAAAAGGCAGCTATAAATTAATTCTATATACAAAGACCAGGTTATCTATTGAAGCTTTTTTTCCAGCATGGAATAATACAAATGTAAAAGAATTGCGACTTTTTCGTCTCGCAATTCTGGCTTTTTTTCTCAGAATTGCATTATATAAAATCATAATTGTGAGAAATGAAATAAAAAGTCGCAATTATCTTTTAATAAGCTTTCTCGGTTAACTAAAACAATTAAACAGAATTTCTGTTAACTGAAATATTAATGACAATTTGAAATGTTGCCTCAGTTGGCAATAAACTGAAAGAAGTTGAAGCAGTTAAATTATCAACTGGAAATAAATAAAACTAAACCAAAAATAAATTAAACCTAAATAAACCTAATAAAAAAATAATAAAAAATAACATAATAATAATATGCAAAATGTTTATATGAAAATAAAAAGCTAATTCTAAATATTAATAAATCAATAGTAAAACAAAAAAGTAAAATAACATTAAGACCAAAATTATACCTTAAATAAATAATACACAGTACTATATTTTTTTCATTTTAAATCAATTTTTTTTAAATCTATTTGTTTATTGTTTAATTTAACCTTTATAACTCATTTAAAGTGCCCCTATTATGGTTTTTCAAATATTCCTTTTCATGCAGTGTGTAATATAGCTGTTTATGAATGTAAACGTTCTGCAAAGTTGTAAAGTTGAAAGCGTACGATAAATAAAAAGTTATTGTCTCCCAAAAGAAAGAATACTCTGAACCTCCTACACGAGTCATTGGTATTTCGAATCCCACTGCGTGACGGTTATACGTCACTAGAACAGACATTTGCATAATGCCCGCCTATGTTGTACGTTTTCCGCCCGAGAACAACTTGACACGCCCACAAACACGTCATTTTACTGACGGCTGCTTCTCAGATCTCAGAGGTCAATGGGGGATTCCCAAAACGCTTCCTCTGAGCTTTAGGAAGCCACTGGACGAAGCTGAAGTTCAGTTACGGTAATGGACATTTAGCTTCCGTTGTGCGCTGTAAACGGTAGACCAATCACAACAGACTGGGCCATCTGA